AATTAAATTCAATTACCAATAAATAAAGACAATAAAATTAAAGTATTAAAATATGTAAGAAGAAATAAAATGATGCTGATAATATAAAGGTTTTAAACAAAAAATTGTGAAGAGTATAAAATTCAATGTTAAAAAATATATAAACTGCTACCATATAGTGTGAAGAGAATGCAGTCAACAATTTTCCACGTTTTGGTGAAACAAACAAATATTGGCATCTAAAGCCTGACAAGATTGACTAAACAAGTTTCCTCATAAAATAGTTAAAGATTAAAATATTAAAACACCAAACCTATGTATTCATGCACGTACTTTCTGGTTAACTAGGTACTAATAACATTTTTCTTTAAAAAAGTTAAACAAAAAATTGTGAAGAGTATAAAATTCAATGTTAAAAAATATATAAACTGATAGTGTGAAGAGAATGCTACATTTTGGTGAAACAAACAAATATTGGCATCGTTTAACCTCCAAAAAAAAAAAAAAAGTTAAGGTTGATACAGCACATTTGATCTGCGTAAGGAATATGAATCGTCTCACTCTAAGACAAGAATTACATAAAAAAACCAATCAAAGACTAATTTCTAATTCTATAACCCTTTAGATGCGGAGTTGTAGGGCATCCTAAAGAGACTAGAAATGGCTTGGGGAACAAGGTTAAAGAATCTGGAGGTTGAGTGTGACTCAACGAATGCCATTGCATTACTGCAAGAGGGGCATGAGGACCCTAGGGACTCCAGGGTAGTAAAATAAAGAGTAAATACCATTTTTGGTTCTCAGCAAATTTCACGATGCCCTAGCAATAAAAAAGGTCATTTGAGGTCCTTGATTTTTTTCAAATTAAGCCCACGTTAGTCCTTCCGTTAGTGGGACTCCAACGTTGTTACTAACGTTTCTCACATGGACCGTTAAGTCGCTCAATCAGATTCTAAGTAGGATATAAAACGACGTCGTACCTTAAGTGGCTGTCTTCTTCTCTTTCCTTTCTTTATTTCTGAAAATATAATAACCCAACACACCCATCTTCTTCTCCACAACCAAATCCTGCTACCCCTCTCCTTCTTCGCTATGCCTCCTGCCATGATTTTTCTCCCTCCCTCATCCAAGATCAGTATGTTGTCTTGTTTCAGCAATGAAAGATGGGACGGACCTTGTACCCTATAAATAATGTTGTCTTTGTTTAAAGAAATTGCATGGCAGCCCCAACATTTTCTTCCATAAGTTTAGCTACCTGTCTTTCTGTGCCGTCATTTGACCACTTGCCCCAAGCTGGTCGGTTTCTTGCACCTTCACCGCCTTCTTCCAGAACATCGCAATATGGTGGAGTTGATTGGAATGCAAACTGTTGTGGTATATAAAATGGAATATTTTGATAGTTGAATTTATTTATGAGTGCTTGAACCACCATTGCAATGGAATGGTGTTGAATGACAGCTGTACTTGATTGCTGAAATGTGTATTTGGAAATGTATCACAGGTGTTATTGATGAGAATTAGATGTATAATTGAATTCATAGTGTGTGTTTAAGCTATATGTTTGATGCGATGAACAAGTGGTGGCTTGTATGATTGATTTCCCTTTTGTTATTGAATATAGATACGAATAATGAATGTGGTTCAAAACTTCTATGGTTGTACTTAACAAGGAAATGCCACTTAAGCCATCACATGAACCCTTGTGGCAATGCTCCTTGTCACTTCACCTAGGATATGTCTTACATTTGTGCAGCCCCTTGACACCTTGTTAGGACGCATGCCCTCCAAGTGGTACACAAAATGGCCACCCCATTTGGTGCATGTGCAAGACTTGTCATAGGAAAGCCATACAAGCTTCCACATTTCTCATTCTAGACCATCCAAGGCCCACCCTTTGACCAAGACACACAGACATCATTCAAACCCATCTATCCACGACACTACCCATAGCAAAGAATGAAAATGAAATCCTTAAGAACCTATTTTTCATCAACTTGGTCTCACGCACACCCACTTTCTTTCCATTCTCGGGGTTCTCGAGAACATCTCCAGCCACCCTTCCTTCTTCATCATAGCCGAAGTAAACAGATACCCTTCCTTCATCATTACCTTCAATGATTGCACATAAGTTCCTTCATGCAATATTTTAGGGTGACTCAAACCCCTTGGCCGAAGCACACTACCTAAGAAGCATCAATCACTTCTTCTCCTAGCACCCTTCAAATTGATCTAATTTGTATTCCAAATCATCACCATCCCTGCATGCATCAGACTGTGGACCTCTTATTGGAAGTAGAATTTAAACTAAAACTCCTTTGCATGTCATCAAGTGTGGCCGAAGACTTAGTAGGAGGAAACACTAATTTTCATTAAATTTTAAAATGTTTTGTTTGCTTTATACAGGCTAAGTAATGGTTGTAATTTGAACCTGGCTAATATACCTCCCATTTTTGTTTCTCACAATAATATCTCCCTTCCCCACTTCATTTATGTGAAATTCTATGGCAAAAATCAGATTATGTCCAAGTGATTCTCATTTGTTAAACAACAGTCACATCTTTTTTGTAGTTTAGTTCTTGTTTACTACACAAAAATGGATCCAGCACAAAGCTCAAAACTCTACTGCTTACAGGGTTCTATAGATTCCCTATTCTCCTCCCCTTCCCTGTCACGTCAGTTATTAAACAAAACATGAGAATCAGTTTAATCAAATAAGATCACTAGTTCATTTCATCCTTCACTAAAACCACACACATGGTACCCCAGTTCATACCATTTGTTAAAACCACCCAAGTGGGGGATGGTGGTGTAAGAAGGGTTCTGATCTTTGACGAGGGAGGAAGAAAAATCATGGCAGGAGGCATAGGCGGACCTACACTATTGCAAGTGTGGGAACTTGCAGACATAAATTATTTTAAAGTTCATCAAATCCATTGCTAATATTTAAAGAGTGACTCTGCTGTCACTTTTATTAATTAATCTTTTGTTATACATATGCAATTGTTACTAATATTTATGTAGACACTAAACACAGAAACATAAATATGTAGATATAAATTGGACATTCAAATACATTCTTACCAACAAGCTTTAATTATTTTATTTATTCAATTTTGAGATGAATAAACTAACATATTTAACGTAGATTTGCAAAAGCAGTTACAAAAAAATAAGTTCTCCATCTTTTTTTAAAGTTTTCTTTTCTTTTAATGTTTATATTTTTTTTTGTTTTTTAATGCATTTAAAAAAAAATTAACCCCACTAAATGTGCAGACATAAATAAAATTTTCTAAGTTCGCCACTGGCAGGAGGCATGGCGGAGAAGGAGAGGGGCAGCAGGATTTGGTTGTGGAAAAGAAGATGGGTGTGTTGGGTTATTGTATTTTCAGAAATAAAGAATGAAAGAGAAGAAGACAACCACTTAAGGTACGACGTTGTTTTAAATCCTACTTGGAATCTTACTCAGCGATTTAACGGTCCACGTGAGAAATGTTAGTAACGATGTTGGAGCCCCACTAACGGAAGGACTAACGTGGACCTAATTTGAAAAAAATCAAGGACCACAAATGGCTTTTTTTTATTACTAGGGACTAAAGAGGGTATCGTAAAATTCGCTGAAGACCAAAAATAGTATTTACTCTAAAACAAATTTGAAAATGGTTGGCAGAGGACTGGGAGGTTCGATACATGCACTTCTGTAGGGAAAACAATGTTTATGCCTACTGGTTAACAAAGAATCACAACAGAAACCATAACATGGACCAGGTTCATCTTAACTCTCCCGCACATCTGTTTAAGAATACACCAAGTTTGTCATTTGATGTTAGCATAGCAATGTAATTTTTGTTTTTTCTTGGAGCCTGGCCCCTCCCTATTACAAAAATAAAATAAAATAAAATAATTAAAGCTTATTATTTAATATATATTTAATAATTTATTATATGATCAATATAAAAGAAAATCAATGACTCGTTGGTTGTTAATATATAGCCGAGTTATTAAATATGTATTGGTTGTTGAGTATATTTTGTTATTTTTCGTTAATAAAAAATTAGTAACTCATTGTTAAGACAATAAATAAATAAGGTATAATAATAAGTAAATAACTATGAATATTTTTTTTTTGAAAAAAAAAATAACTTGAATTTTACTGCGATTATGGAGTATAAGGAATTAACCTTAATGAATAAATTTTTTTGATAGTTATTAAATGTAGTTAAGCGAATAAGAATTTCTTATAGGGTCTTGCAATCACATATTTTTTAAGTTCACATATGGTAATTTATTTAAAACCCATATGATTAGTTTTTGGCACTATGGGACGCATTGACTTTCTTGTTGAAATGCCAAATAGAATATAAAAATGCTGGGAGAGTAACAAATTTATAATATTTTTTCTATTATTAACATTAAAAATATAGGGATAAGTTATTCTACCTACTATTTTTTCTGCCTACCTTTGCTTACCACCCTCCAACACCGTTAGATCAGAATCTCAAGAAGAGAGAGAAAGATAAATATTAGTTAAGATTCTGATCTAATGATGTTGGAGGGTGGTAGACAAAGGTAGGCAGAAAAAATAGTAGGTAGAATAACTTATCCCAAATTTATATGGGATAGGTTATTCTACCTACTATTTTTTATGCCTACCTTTGCCTACCACTATAAAACACTATTAGATCAGAATCTTAACTAACATTTATCTTTCTCTCTCCTTGAGATTCTGATCTAACGGTGTTGGAGGGTGGTAGGCAAAGGTAGGCAAAAAAAAAAATGGTAGGTAGAATAACCTATCTCAAAATATGTGATATTAAAAATGAAAAATTGAGGAAAGTAAAAGTGATGAAGCAACTACATATGGGATAGGTTATTCTACCTACTCCCTATTTGCCTACCTTTTGCCTACCCCTCTCAGCATCGTTGGATTTTAATCTCATCTAACGGTTCACATTCCAAATATAAGTAAAAGCCTTTTACTCTTTTTTCTCTCTCTGACTCCCGCTTGTTCTCTCCTCCCCCACGCAGCTTTGACAACCCTCTCTCCCGCCGTCGGGCATTGACAGCATCGGTTTTCCAATATTTTTTCCCTAGTTCTTAATTTCTCTAATTTCCTCTATTAATCGATCTCTGCGATTCGTCGTCTGGTACTTAACTCACTTCACTACCTCTATTCATTCTTTCTTTCGTGGTCCACTTCAATACCTAAACTAGTTTTTTTTTTTTTTTTTTGGAATTGCAATTTCTGTTTGTTTGTTACCATTAGGATGCTGCGTTTCTGCAAATTGTGGAAGAAGAGGAACCTTTACCGTTACCTCCTAACATTGAGAGAGATCTTGTGCTTTTCAAGCCGCCAATTCTCTCACTCTCATGCCCGTGTTTTGTTGTTGTAAATCAAAACCTGTTAGTCTAACGAATATAATGGATGTATGGCTGGGTTGATGATTGGTATCTTCTTGTTTTGGAAGGTAACTTGTCAAAGAAATAATCCTTTAAAATTCAACATGTTCTGGTAGCAAATTTGGATTGTTTATAGATCAATATTAGGTGTAGAATGGTCTATTACAATAAAAGAAATTTGGTAGACCATTCTAATAGACAACATGTAATTATATGGCGTTGTTTTGGATTGTTTACAGTTACTATTGTCTTTTTAGTTAAATAGACTTCAAGTTTAGGAAGTTACAATATAGAAAAAAAAATGCATTTATATCCATTAATATGGTAGAAAGTTTGAGCTACCCAATGAAAATAATAGTTTTAGTCTACTATCTCTTCCAGATGGCAGCGATCTTACTCAAAGTAACAACGCCTTTTAAGTTGATTAAGTTGCTTGGTTCTTTTGCCTAAACCACTGTTATATTTCTATAATTCTAGTACTTGATTAAGTTGCTTGGTTAATTTCATAGTGACCTCAGATGCTGTTACTCGATAAATCTACTAAATTGACAATACTCTTGATTTGCAGTGGCTTGCAAATTACAGAGGCATTTCACCTGGAATTAGATGCTCGAAGGTATCTTCATGAACAGCTTGAGGTATATCCTTGCTATTGTCTTCTCTTATAACTTTTTATTTCTACTAGTATATTTCCATGTTTGCCATACCTTTCAGGTTCTTACTTGGTACATCATTTGCTCAAACTCTAACCACAACTTTTAGAACAATATATCCCTTTTACAAGCAAAACATGATATATTTAAAAGCACTAGGACATCTCTGCCTATTTGCATTTTGGGCTTCTTGCAATATATTGTGCTAAAGCATGGATGAGTTAGGGTTTAGGGCAGTTATTGGTTGAAAAAATGTTGAGGAAATTGGATACATAAACTGATTGGTTAGGATAGTTGGATTCTAATAATATTCTTTCCTAACTTCAGATTTTCATTTAACTTGCTTTCTTGGTCCAGATTCAGAGAAAATTACAGTTGCTAATTGAAGAACAAGGTAGGCAGCTGAAAAAAATGTTTGACCAGCAGCAAAAGAAGTAATAACCTCTTGAATACTCAGAATACAACCAATGATGATACAGCAATTAGTCATAAGGATGTTGCTTCTAGGCTCAAGGGTGAGCTCAATTGTAGGAATTCATGCTAATAAATTCTTAACTACTGAAATGTGGTAAAACATTATGAATGCTATTTCTTTATCTATCTTTTTAGGGACTTTAGCATAATGGAGTTTTGTTATGTTGAAACTCTACAACAAGCTAGTTAGTACCAGTTCCTCTTTTCCTCGTCTAAAATTTATTGGTCAAATCTCTTGTATGCATGTGATTTAGAGTAATAATAGTACTGCAAGCTTTCTTGTCTGATATTGTTTTTAACTTGTGACTTGTAGGAGTCAGTACAAGTCTACACTACCATGATGTCCAATGAGGAAGCATGTACATCGAGCCTTACATGACCTAAGTGTTGTTATCACAACCAATGGTGGAGCAGCTATTCGTTGTAGCTTATAACTAGGCAGCAGCTATTATTGTAAATTTTCAATACATAATGACAGAGCTCTAGGACTGTTCTTCTTCTTCCACTTGTAATATTCCTTTAGTTCAATGTATTTATCTCAGTTGTAATCATACTAGGATGTAACAGAGCAATTGCCATATAAATAAAAATTGATTCTTTCTTTATGAATTGTATTCTTATTGCGGAGTCTTGATTGGCCTCTATGAGTAACACACAACATATTTGACTATTCAAATTTAGAAGCTCTTCAAACACACTCACTGTACACTCATTAATTATTATAGAGCGGGATTGATAAAAATGCCAGAAATAAAATTAATAATTAAAAAGTACTAAATGCTTTCTTGGTAAATAGAACCACAACATGACAGTAAAATAGAACCACAAAGACAAAATTACAATATTTCCATTCCACTCTACTTTTTAAATAGAACTACAACATGACAGTAGCAGAAACTGTAAATAATTGAATACACAAAAAAATATCTATAATGAATGCTTATTTATTCTTTGCAGGTGCGCTTATTATGTCCTCGTTTCTTGCAATGTCCGCAAATATTGGTTTGCTTTGATGCTTCTTCAATCCCGCTACGAATCCTTTTTCGGCCTTTTGTTTGGGAAATGTTGGGGTCCTTCAAGTTCATTGTAGAAGACTCTTCGAGTTGAGAATTAATGTCATTATCCCCAAGAGTTGTACTCTCCCCAAATGTTGGAATTTTTTTTGCAGATGTAGCAAGAGCATCAAGACCATCAGAAATAAATTTAAATGCTTCATCTGACCTCTGTGCAAGCTCAATAAGTGTATGACATTTAGAGTTTAGGTGAAGGTTGTGAACCAATCCATCTCCATTAGGAAAACACATTTCTTTGTCTTTACTTAGCACATCATTTCCTTCCTTACGCCAACGTTGTAATATGAGTGTCTAGACCTCGCATCAATCCAAAAAAAGCTTTCCATGCGATCGTCATCGTCGTACTTGATCGAATAAAAGAAATTTGGATTCATTGATTGTTGTCTATTACAATAACGTACCACAGCTTGTGCATCCCCAGCGTCATATATTTTCCTCCTTACATTTTTCATATGATTATAACAATCTCGACTGTCAAACATTATATCATGGCCTCTGAGGATGGTGGCCACCTTTCCAGTGGGCAAGCCCGAGTCATTGAATTTTTCAACTAATGATCTAGCAACATCAGGCATTTGTCTATATGATCTTATATATGGAACACTCTTCGGAGTAACCAAACCATGATTATGATTGTCGTCAAAATATGTAACTTTCCACATGTTTGTGTCTCCATTCATAGAAGCCTTGAGACAAGCTTTACACCCTATGCGTGATGATGATGTATTCCTTGATTTGGTTTCACAAACTTCACCAACATTGTTTGTCTTCGGTGCTGGACGACCCTCTCTAGCACACGTTAGCTTCATGTAATTCTTCTTGGTTTGTCGTGCCCGAATTCCAAAACCTTTTCCCATACCAAATGCTTTGTACAAGTCTATTACATCTTTCCTTTCAGAAAATTCCATTCCAACCTCAATTGAAATACCAATATTCTTTGTCGGTGTCAACGGAATGACATTTGACATACTATTAATTGAGTCATTTTGTATGTGCTCTTCCATTTCATGAGGCATGTCGTATTCAATCTCATCACTAAAGTCAATGTAATCTGTTGGATCGTCATCAGTATCTCCAAGTTGTGCAAAATTGGTCCCTGTATCATCGATCTGGGTAAATTTGAATCGTAAATATTCAATATTTGATCAAGGATAAAAAATGAAAAGAATTCATATTCGTGATAGTAAAACTTGTTATGATTAATGCCCGAGCACAATAAAAAAGAAGAAAATACATATCAAAAATCCAAAATATAATAAAACACGAGTTGCCCTATTAGATAGTACATCAATAAAAACATTTTTCGCATTCCACATTAGCCGGCCTCAATTTTCACCACTTACAATTATAAACGAAAATGAAAATGAGGAGGAATAAATATACCTGATGAAGATGCTGAAGGGAACCGCGCTTGTAACATATGGACTGGAGCGTGTTGCTGGTTGCATTAACGTTTGAATCTGATGCCATCGATTAACTTCCCAAAAGAGGTTCAGAGTTTTGGGTTCACTTTGTAAAAAAAATAAAAATAAAATAAGTCATATTGCAAAGACAAATTGATAAGCCGTGAAAAGGAAAACTAAAATTGATATAAGCATATGTGAGAAAAATATGCCACAAATGAAGCAACCACCACATAGCATTTAAAAAGATAAATGGTAATGCAAATCGGTCCTAGAGTATTGCGAAGTAACATGAGAACTAATTCCACACTAAATGAGCTAATTCCATGCAAATTGGTCCTACACAATCAATAAGGTTAATATCTGGTTTCTAATTACTGAAACAGAAAGCAATCAAATGAAAAGAAATTGATGGTGAATGATTCAGAGTTTCTTGACGCCAAACCACTCCCTAATACATGAACAAATGATTCAGAGTTTTGGGTAAAAAAGTCGTATTGCAAATGACAAACCCTCGAAAAAAAATAAAGAGACAAAAAAAAGAATTATAAGAAAATTAGGGAAAAAGTAGAGGTAATTAGAGAATTTGCTAATTGAAAGTGAAAAAAATGATGCTAACCGTTCAACGACAGATATGTATTAGAGAGTGGAGAAGATAGATTCGGGATTGGCAGAACTGTCAATGACCAGCGGCGGAAGAGAGTTGTCAAAGCCGCGTCTTGTTCATCGTAGGGGAAGAGAGAACGAAAGAAAGAATGAATAGAGGTAGTGAAGTGAGTTAAGTACCAGACGACGAATTGCAGAGATCGATTAATAGAGGAAATTAGAGAAATTAAGAACTAGGGAAAAAATATTGGAAAACCGATGCTGTCAATGCCCGACGGCGGGAGAGAGGGTTGTCAAAGCTGCGTGGGGGAGGAGAGAACAAGCGGGAGTCAGAGAGAGAAAAAAGAGTAAAAGGCTTTTACTTATATTTGGAATGTGAACCGTTAGATGAGATTAAAATCCAACGATGCTGAGAGGGGTAGGCAAAAGGTAGGCAAATAGGGAGTAGGTAGAATAACCTATCCCACTACATATATATCTAGTTTATAATAGAAATTCATGGATAATATGTTGTGGTGTGGAAAATTAAAAGAATCAAAATAACTGAACTGAATTGCATTTTAAAGAACTAATTTTTAAAATTTAATTCATGAATTGAATTGGTTATTTAGTTTTGAAATCGAATTAGTTTAAAAAATCAGTACAATCGATATGATTTAAAAAATCAGTTATATATGAATTGAATTAGTTTTTTTTTCCTTCTTCTCTTTTATTTTCTGTTTTTTTCTCTCCATTTTTCTTCTCCTATTTATTTATTTACTTAGTTTCTTCTTTTTTTCTTTATTTTTATTACTTAATTTCTTTAGTTTTTTATTTTTATTTTCCTTTTTTATGTATTTCTCTCTCTTATTTATCTATGTTATGTTTTGGAATATGCCATGAATTCAAGTGAGACAAGGTCTTCAACCAATACAATTTCTATAACATAAGGGAAAATTAAAATCTGACGCAAGCGGTGAGTTATCAGTATACTAACAATATATTAATAAAGTTCAAGAAGTTCATTACATACTTGTTGATAAATTATAATAGTTTGAAGTGAATGTGATGGTTATAGACTATGCGGTTATAGCTACCAATTGATTGTTATAATCATAAAGAATCCATTTGTATGGTTTATCTAGTTCATTCTCATTGTGTACTGGTATTTTTTCCCTTCTGATTTTTGTGTTCAATGACCAGGTACTCTGAATTAAAAACCAGCAAGCTAGCCCCACTACTGTACTTAATTATATTATAATCCGATAAAAGGGACAGTTAGAAATAATATAGTTGATTAATTCTTCTCATAGTTTCTGTTACTGTCATGTTAAAGAGTTTCTGAATGTCAGTACTCAAATGGCAACATATACCGTGTTTTATTGATAGAGGTCAATCAAGTCATATATGGGAAGAATACAATTGTTGAAAGAAAATAATCAATTTTATTGATATTACAATTGGGAAATTACAATCCTGATATGATTACAACTGAGATATATACATTGAACTAGTGTGATTGGTCAGCACTGCTGTGTTTAATCTTTTGTTGGTCCTCCAAAGAGTGTGAAGAAGCATTGTCTATATTGAGATCACTTTTCCTTGGACAAACTTTTCTCTTCTTGCATCCACTGAGCACTAACTGGATTTGGCTGATCACTATAAGTTCAAATGATGTATCTCATTCATGGAATACCTGTAGAAAGGTTCAGCAGTAAAGGCTTAAGATAATTTGCCTTTGCCATCTGTATAACATTCTGCACAAGGAAAGAGAGGTTCTCCAGCAACTCAAGTCATTTTTGGCTGCTTCAACATCATCACTGTTTAACATTGTCACCAGGAGAAGTATACTTCCTTGAATGTTTCCTACGAGATTGCACACCTTTTTACTTTTAGACAACTCCAACAGCAACTCCAATGCTAACTTGCTTTCCCCAATTTGACGTGAAAGTGAGCGAACAATTGGTCCAAGTGCATTATCCACTTTAGCAATATCTTCCTGCCAGAAAGATGCATCAGTATCATTATCATGCAAAATCAATATTGTTCTCTTCAGTTTTACATGGAGCCATCTAAAAATGTGTACAGTTAATAATGAGAAGGATTCTACCTTGTTCTCTGCATTAGGATGAGCAGAACACGCTTCCTTATTTCACGATTTTTAGAACCAAGAAGTTCAATAAGAACAGCAAAGTAAAATCAATGTGATTGATGGTCATTGGTTCACATAGGCCGTACTATATATTCTCAAAATAACTATTACAAACCTAAAACACAACATCTGAATGTCGCAATTAGGAATATTATTCAAAGTTATATTTTACATAGTTATAGCCCACCTTCTTTTTCCTTCGCTCCTTATCCCGGGATGTTGACACAGCATCACGGACCAGTTTTATGTAAGAAGGAAGCACCTCCTTGGGTACTGAAGCAATGACGCTTGACAAAGCCACCCAAGCAACCTAATGAAAAGCAGAATATAAACACTATACTATGCAGAGGATCTTAGTCTAATATCAATTACTCATACAGCTTACCGTAACAGTTGATGAATCAGGATCACTCAGCAAAATGATTAGGGTGGATATCATGTTTGGAGCTTCATCAACCAGATATAAATGGTAAAGCACCTAAAACAAATGCAACAAATATCACAAAGCAATCCTCGAATTGAGGATCAAAGGAGATGCAGATTAAAAGTAGTAAACATTATGGAGGCATTTGGTATGCTCACAGATCCTCACCCATAACCAATGTCTGGAATCCTGGGGTTATGGGAATGTGTGATATCTGGAAATCCAAAATCTCATTCTTCAGGATACCAGCTATATAAATAAACAAAGTTTAATAGCCACACCAATCATCAAGATCTTAAACTCCAGGTATTTAATACCAGGGTATCTAAATTCTCACTTCCACACTAGAATGCTGGTATACCCTATGCATATATAATCATAGATGCCTACTCACGTGAGATGAATGCCAGAATATGACATTTTTCTTCTTCTGCAACAGTCATCTCGAAAATACACAAGTATATACATATAGATCCAAATTGAAAAGAATAAGACATGCAATGGAGGAGTGTCAGAATAAGGAAAAAAAGAAATTAAACCTGAAACCAGACATGTAAAAAAAGACAGAGCAATAAGAGAACTACAATTAGGATAAACTAAAATAACTTTTTTCAAGAAAAAAATCATTGACTTACTGTAAGGTAATCATCACTTTTATTCCAAACGACCATTTTTGGTAGTTTAGTCCCAATATCAAAATTTTCAGCAAATTCTTCCAGCTGTTTAACTCCAATATAACCAAATATTAAGTCCCGATTTGCAGATGCAGCAGCTTTCAATAACTTAATCAGTTCCCGTGATCTTTCTTCGTTTTCATCCTCAACAATTGTCAAAACTATTTTCCTACCATCAGCTTTCATCAACTTAAGTGTGTCATGGGATACAGGCACAGCTAAAGGAATCAGGTTTTGTTTTACAAAATCTTCCAAAAATTCCTCTGCTTCATGGGGTAAAAAAAAAAAAAAAACTCATCAAAAAATTTCTGTAATGATATATCAAAGTTAAAACATTTAAAGAGTATATGAACAAAAGTGAATATATTCCAATATAACACAATGTGAGAAGAAAAAAGAAAATATATTACAGTATAATTCAAGAAGTATTGATAAGCTCACAACACCATAGTAACTTCTAGTGAAGCAAGAAAGGCATTCTAGATTAATAATTGGCATTCAAGCTGAGATTTTATTTAGAAGTAAACAAACCATCACTGAACTATTTGAGTTCTCAAACCTACTACCCTGAAACAAGAAAGGCATTTCAGATGAACCTATTATATGTTAAGTGTTGCCTTGCTAACAGTTGTGCAAGTAATGCGCGCAAGTATACGCGACAACAAGTAATATAGGGCTGTTATAAGTCCCAGTTATCGTTCCCACAAGGATCGTTGGCGTTTTGAAATGACTAAAATTTGTAATTGCTTAAAACTGAGTTACTATTTGAAAATAAAAGAAATAAAAATTGTAAGGTAAAAATAATCTAGAATGGATCTAAAATACTACTGTTCACTTTTCTTTTAAAATTTTTCTGAATTACTTTCCTAAGTTATAAAATAAGGAGTAAGAATGAAGCAAATTAAATGACAGATGTGACAAGAATTTTCTTTTCTTTTTTTGTATTTAAAATTGGAAACAGAACAGAGATTGAAATATGAAATAACAAAGGAAATTAGAAATCTGAGTTGATAAAGAAGTTTAAAAAGGTGGGTTGAGTTCTGGCTCTCCTTCCCCACAGTGCTTGAAAAATAATTTGATTAACAAAAAGCTCATCCTAAGATTCTCAGTTAACAGAACTGTATTGTTAATTTTAATCTCTTAAAAATTATTTTATCCCAAAGTATCCCACTTCCATATCTCTATGCCAAGTGAGATTAGGACTCTTGAGACTCAGGTCCAATATTACATGAGGACTCCTTCATTTCTGAAATGAGATCCCTTAGATGATTTCTCATCTAAGTCCATGTGTCTAATGCAGAATCCAGAGTTAGTTGTTTCTCAACAACTAACTCCTAACCAAACCTCTGACATTCGGCCAAAATGCAGATAATTTTAAACATTAGAAAAAGCATTAAACAACTGAGATATAAACATTAAAACCAGAAAACCAAACATTTAACAAGCACTGAGGTTTGGGTATCACCTAAACCCAACCTCTAAGAAGTTAGCCACTATCCATATGGATGAGGCTTACAAACAGTAACAGAGAACTACAGAAATCACAAAATAAAAATTCTAAAAACTAAAATTACAGCACTGGCCTAACAACCGGCAATCTCAGTGCTGTAAAGACATGCATCAAGTTCATCAAAATGAACCAGAATCTCATTACAAAACAGAACTTAAAATAAAATAAAAATTGTTCAGAAAACAAAAACTAAGAAACGGTAAATCAGAACCAGAAGAGAGAAGGAGCCACATGACTCACTCCTATTTCCCTTTTTATAGGGCTCTTTGCACACTATCCTCTTTTTCTCCAGCTCAGCAATATGACGCGCTGCTTGTGCGCTGCAAATGAGTGGTCCCCACAGTGCTCCACTCCTCTGCTCTTACAAATCGGATGGAATTGTCGTTCCTTCAACCCGTACACTGACGTGCTCTCACAATCGCTCCAGCATCCACTAAGTAACGGATCTTTGTTTGGCTTTTTCTGAATCCAAAAATAGTGGCTAGGGTTTTCGTGATTTCTTCTTCTTCATGGACTGTGGGTATGGGTCAATTTGGACAGATGAACCGTGGACAAAGGATATTCTGACCTTCTGGATCGATTTGGGGCAGGGATTAGGGATGGATGAAGTGGATTCTGATTGCACGATGTGGGTTCGCTAGGGTTTGCGTTTTCTTTTCTTTTCTTCACGTTTCTGCTACAGACTTCTCCTTCTTTCCTTCTTTTCTTTTTTTTTTGCTTCTTTCTTCCTTTCCTTTTGGGCTTTAGTATTTTAAGTCCGGCCCATCACTTCCCTTTTTTTTTCTCATGCTGTCTTCTTTTCTTTCCTCTAATGGGTATTTCTGATGCAAAAGGAAAATGGGCCTGAAAAATGGAATGTTACAGCCCATTAACAATTAATCTACAAAAGATCCAACAACTCCATATTTTTTTGGGTATTTTACAGCAAAATAAATATTTTTTCTCTTCTTTTTCCAATTAAATCATATGCTATAAGTCTCCATTAAGAGACTTATCATTAAGCTTAGCCTTAAATTTCAGCTTCAGTCAAGTTCCATAGGTAATATTGTCATACCCTGTTTGATTTATAAGATAGTTGGGTCTAGGCCAAAGAAACCTCCTAAAAAAAACCAAGAGTAGAAATATATAGGGAAGCCATAAAAGTCACCCCCTCCCATATATGTTGCAAAGATAAACATATAGAGAGATAAAGGGGATTATTTTACAAAAAATAACCCCCTTTACTTTTTCGTTCAAATTTATTATACAATATTCACCTCAGATAACAGGTCACACCGTCACACGCATCAGCTCTCTCATTAGCTGTTAATTGCTGGTATCTTTGAATTGTTGACTGTTATAAAGGTGTAACCCGTTAGCTGTGAAGTGGCCTCACAAAATAACTTAAATAATATAAAGAAACATTGGGCAGTTAGGCAAAATTAACATGGACTATCCACCAGATTTCTCAGTCTTGCTCGCACTATTTAAATAATACAGATCTGATATTTATACAGTATCCATGGACAAATATTGGACATGTAATTGAAGAGGGCCACAGAATCATCTTTCACACATTCCATAGATTAAACCCAACGTCTCATGTGATAATCTCAGATTGAAAAATTAATAGTCATAGACAACCCCCTTTGGATTTGGATGCTTTTTTATCAAGAAATCTGCTATTTCCAGTTTGGAAACCTCCTATTGTGCAGGAATTGTGAACCTTGTTCTGCCATATCCCTGCCATTGGAACAAAGACTTATAATCTGATGTTTAAAGCGTTAACACAAATTAACCTCCTAAAGAAGAATCAGTCTAGATGAAAGAAGGAGAAGCATTCATCTTTCAATTTGAATTTAACAATAAAGTAACCTAATTATATACACAATAACAATGTTGCAGTAAATTTAGAATGGATTAAAACTTCAGATGCATTGGTGTTCAACTTTTAAGAAATTTTAAATCATCACTATGCAATTTTCAGCACCATGTTGTCATTATGCCTGTTACAGAATAATAGGATTATGCCTGTTACAGAATAATTTTAAATCATCACTACTCAATTTTCATCACTATATATGTTGCCATTCAGAAAAAAGGGGAAAAAGTGAAACACAAATTGAAAATCTGCATATTGACTGCAACCTTTTGAGCACCATGCATCCAGCCAACCAGAGGCTTGTAGTTGGAGGAGTTGACCCGTGTACCCTTGGGGTACACCCTCAAAAAGTTTTTCTGGGTGAATCTAATATACAAAATTGAAAGCATTACAATCAGATTGCTGCAATTTTTTTTTTGAAAAGTGGAAAAGAAGTAGTAGATCATTTGTATAGATATGGTAGAATAGTATATATGATATTTGTTAAGAAAGCAGATATTACCTAATAAGATCAGTTCCAAGTGACTCAGTAGCCTTTTCAAGGGCTTGTTCACTTAAGCTAAGGCGTCTAACTCTATCATTTTCAACTTTTAATGCTTCCTTCAGACTGCCCTTGGGTTTTCCAGCATGAATAGCAATAAGACGCTTATAACCACTCTGCTGACAACAATAATGATACTCAACTCCATTGCTTTGGTCATTCCCTCAATCTAAAACAACAAGGTTAAATAAAACCACATTAATCCAACAGCTAATAAACAAATAAAATTATAACCAATTCTATGGAAAAGAGCAGAATTAGAGGGCAAAAGATTCTTAACCAACGGTAATGGTCATGACTGTAGGGTACTATTAAACTCTACAATGCTTAATAATGATACAGAATCTCCTCCTAGACAACAACTTCAAATTGAGGGTTCAGTCAACACATGGGCAGATTGGAGGCAACAAACAAATGCATTCACACCTAAGGCAAATTTAAATCAGTGTCAACCTTGTTATCAAAAAAAAAAAAAAAAAATCAGTGTCAACCTTATCGTAGTATTATGAGGTTGGGAAACAACACACATATTATCCAACTGTAAATTAAATATGAGAGTTTTACTAATGTGGTTGCTAAGTAGTAACCACTTTCAATCCTCAAATCTTCTTCATGCATTCTGTTTTTAAATCCCTCATATATTATCATTCAGTAACGCAATATCTGTCCAAGATTCCTTTACGACTTAACATATGACCATAACTAATTTTTTTCTGCTCACATGCTTGCAGGATCAACAAGGATATATTATTATTTCCACAGCTACATGATTGCAAACACATACCTTCCAAACATTTATATGTATATGTATCTCACTGCCTTATTAGTTTCGTCAAATGGATATACTATTTATTAATTTCTTGTCTCACGAAAGAGTGCCTTGAGAAATGTCTAACCAAGACAACCAACAGAACAGAGGGTATTGAATACATTTACAAAGGTGGCACAGCAAACCATAGAAAGAAAGAGTTAGACTATATCTGCCCGACTAGTAAAATAAATCCATTTGACGCAGTAGCAACCCAAATAAATCCACTTCATAGACATTGGAACAGTAGCAACCCATTTAAAACACCAGAGGAGTATCACAAAACATTATTTAAATAAATAAAAAAAGTTTCCAACCACAACCCAAATCTGGAGAAATAAAGTCAATATTTGGACATGATCAAATCATCCTTCCAAAATAGAATCTGTCATTTTTTTACCTCAGTCGTCTGTTATCTCACAAACTGCCTTTGTGGAGAAAGCTAAAAAATTCCTTCCTTCACCCCCTTCCACCGATCCTACTTCACATATGAACAAGTCAGTCAAAAATGGAAACATGAAATTTCCAGATTTGATTTACATTCAAGCCAATACATGCATGGGTTTAAAAATCAGATTTTTTTTCTTAATTTAGTCAATCCCTCCCAACCAATGAAGTTACTCCTAGCACCAAATATTAGCTAAAAGAACAAAATCTCCACCCCTTGGCCCTTGCATATATATGCCTTGGAATCGAATTTTTCAGGGAACATAATATGGAAGTCTTCCTTTACACTTACAAGTGATTGAACAAATTCTAAAACAAAGGTTTGGGTTGATCTCAACCTTACTTAGTCTTTGATGGAATCAGTCAGTAGCTTAATTAAACCTCTCACAGGGCCCCTTCCAAGCTTCTGGACAGTTGATGCATGCAATCTGGTACCAATTTCACAAGGATATGATGTTGTTATGAATGGGTGGAAGCTCCAATCAAAAGAAGGATTTTGGGAGAGAGGTCATTTTCTGCTCAAGTGTCCAGGAGGTAAAGTGCGCATGTGAAAAGACAAAAATAAAAAGGGGATGATGGCTGGAAACATATAAATGTATTCCACTTAAAAAAGCCTGACAAGATTGACTAAACAAGTTTCCTCATAAATAATTAAAGATTAAAATATTAAAACACCAAACATATGTATTCATGCAGTACTTGGTTAACTAAGTACTAATAAAGAATATGATTCGTCTCACTATAAGACAAAAATTACATAAAGAAAACGATCAAAGACTAATTTCTATATCTATAAATGAACCCACAAAGAGCTAAGGACCTTCCCACTCTGCAATGTGTGAAGCATTCTATCTTTTTCTTATGCAAATCTCCAGATGGAGAGATGCATAACAATTAAAACAGTCAAATGGAATCACAAGGAACCCTGATGAAGGAATATCTGCAGTGCCCATTTGAATGTTCTTGGTAGAAGACATCAACGTTAGACAGCTTCCGTTAGACTTGGCGGCTATAGCATGACCATACCCTGGCTGAGAAGAGTTAGGCCCCATGCAGCTAATAGTGACCACATTTCCCATATTCTCAACAACATTGTTTTTGAGAATAAACAAATTTCCATCTGTTTGCTCTTGAAGAATAAGAAATTCATCATCAGAATTCACGGATACATGGAAAGAGTGATTGTATAAAAATTGGATTCCAGAACTTTTATGTTTTTTGCTGAAGTGGAGGGATAACTCCTTTGATGAGGCAACAAAGTCACAACCTTTGTGTGGGCATAAACATGGAATGTAGATACATTTCTTCTCATGGTTATTCCTTTCACCGTAACTCAATGTCTCTTTGCAACCATATTTTGCATTAAGGCATGATATGTTAATAGATTCCAACACTTTCTCAATAGCTTTGCAACGGTTGTAATGAATGCGAGATGAGCACTCAAGACACTCCCTTCCAAGAGCACAACAGGTAAAGCAAGCAAAATGCCCTTTCTCGCACTGCAAAAATCACAAATGAAGTTATTAAATTAGATTTTGCATTATATGGTGATGTATCAGAATGATACTTAATACCGTAATGAAAAATATAGCTTACTTAATCAAAAATTTCTAGCAATAAGCTCACAGAAATTAAAGTTCATATCACATAAAGCTTTTTTTGGTCTCCTGTTAACAACGTACATGATATATTGCATATGAGACTCTGCCTAATTCAACTTTGTAACAGAGCTAAATGATATAAACATTAGCGCAGGATACAGAAAAGATGGTGCAAAGACTAAAAATTATAAACTGCTAAGACTTGAGGCACTCAACAAATAACATTAGCGCAGGATCACCATATATGCATATAATCAGTGAACAGTAAATGATAAATATAATCAAATGAATCAATAGCAAATAGAAAATTTTCATTACATATAATTCTGAATTTGATTCTCGAATCAGGGTAAAACCGATAGGCAATCACAATTTTTCACCAAAAACAAATTAAACTGCAAATTAATGAAAAGAAAACAGAAAAAGCTGAAGTTTAAGAATGATAGATGGGGCAAGGATATATTATACCTGGAAGACAGGAATAGTCAATGGTTGACAGCAGCTGCAGCAGTCGAGGACTTTAGGGTTAGAAAGGGTGACAGAAATAGGGTCTATGCCCTTAAACTTAGATGTTGCTTCATCATCTTCCATAGGATTGTTTTCTCCAACATCCTCATCATGATTTTCACTCCCTTGGCAATGCACATAGTATTCCAACTCAATTTCACAGCCTTCTCCCTCCTCTTCCCGATCTTCTTCTTCCTCTTCCGGATCTTCTTCCTCTTCCTCCTCTACTGGTTCTTCTTCTTCTTCCTCTTCTGGATCTTCTTCCTCTTCCTCCTCTACTGGTTCTTCTTCTTCTTCTTTCTCTACCACTTTCTCAACTACTTCCTCCTCTACCAGTTCTTCTTCTTCATCTTCCGGCAGAGGTATGTATTCATATTCAATAGTAGTAAGCCTGCGTCGCGTATGGTTCTGGACTGGATTGCTGCTGGATCTTTTCCTTTTATGGAAACGGTGAACCAAATCTTTCTCCATCTCTCTGGAGCGCGCAAAGCTAAAACAAGGACGTTCTCTCTCAATTTTCTTTGCTGTCGACAAACCCTTAAGCTCACTCTCAATTTTCTTTGCTCTCTCAATTTTCTTTGCTGTCGACAAACCCTTAAGCTTTATAGTCTCTGGTCACGTGCTCGATTTGATATCCTTTTAGATAGCGATTATGATTTATTAAAATTTTAAATCGTTATACGCACGTAAATCTATAAATATTCGATGTAAGAATATATGGCTCCTTAGTATAATTTGAATTAGATCGACTTCCCGTTTTAGATTGATAGAGACCACAAATCTTTTATCAATATACAATCTTGTAATTCATTGATTTGTATACTATTTGCCTATACAATGACCATTCACACACTAATATTTTTTTTTAATCTATATGATCTTACTATAGTATCGTTGTTAGTATATAATGTCACTCTACAAAACACAGTTATTGTAATCTTGCCAACAATTAAATATTAAATAATTAACTATAAAACATGAATAACAAAATACAGTTGATTTCCGTCAATAAACGGTTAAGATTTTCACAAATAAAATTTATTAAATAATTATTAATTCGCAGTAAATCTTAACCGTTGATTGATGAAAATCAACGGTTAAGATATTGGTGGCAAGAGGTATTAAAGAAAAATAGGTTGTAAGTATAACCTTTCCCTTTGTTTATTTGTCATATAAAGTAATAATTGCGTGAGTATTGCTATTGAAATAAAGAAACTATTAAATAGTTTAAATTTTAAGGGAAAAAACTGCATACGACTATATTGCTATTTTATTTAAATATCTAATATAAATTTTATTTATTCCATCATTAATACTCTCCTATGCGTCGGATGTACAATAAATTGGTAGAACCGCGTTATTTTCATAACTACAAAATTTTACAACATCTTACAATTTTTTTTTTACCGTTAATTTCCATAATTCCAATAGTTATAATTTATTATAAATTAATAATTAATAATAAATGTAATCTGATAAATCATAACCGTTGCATTGACAAAAATTAATAATGAAAAAATAAGTTGTAAAAGGGTGTAAAATTTTTAGGTTGTAAGTATAACACACGTTTTAAAATATGTAAAATATTTTAAAAATAATAAATATACAAAAATATTACAAAGTTACGTAAAAATCTGACATGAAATGATAGATTCTCTTTAAGTCTTTAATTCTCTTTCCCAATTCACTAATATGTGATAAAATAATAATAATAATAAATACTTCCATATATAAAAATTAAAAATTCTCAATTTATTTACATTAGGATTACCTGCTTTATAGTCTCTGGTCACGTGCTCGATTTGATATCCTTTTAGATAGCGATTATGATTTATTAAATTTTTAAATCGTTATACGCACGTAAATCTATAAATATTCGATGTAAGAATATATGGCTCCTTAGTATAATTTGAATTAGATCGATAAATACTTCCCGTTTTAGATTGATAAAGACCACAAATCTTTTATCAATATACAATCTTGTAATTCATTGATTTGTATACTATTTGCCTATACAATGACCATTCACACACTAATTTTTTTTTTTAATCTATATGATCTTACTATAGTATCGTTGTTAGTATATAATGTCACTCTACAAAACACAGTTATTGTAATCTTGCCAACAATTAAATATTAAATAATTAACTATAAAACATGAATAACAAAATACAGTTGATGTCATAGCATACTATGTACATTAATTCTATATATCTTTCGACTCATGTAATCTCTATATATTATTTTAACTTATTAGTACTTACGAACTTAAAAAAAAAAAAAAAGTATGTATAGTTTACAGACCTATAACATGCTATACTTAAAACCCAATTAATTAATATGTGATATCTAATACTGTTACTTTTGTCGTTATTTATTAAAATTAAAAGATAAATAAATATTACATATATATATATATATATATATATATATATATGAGGAAGGTTGTACTCACAACCTTTTTTTTACAACCATATCTTAACACTGTTTATTTCTGCCAATCAACGAAGAAAGAAACCAAATAAAAGGAGAGTAGAAAAGAAAAGAGAAAAGTGGGAAATATACAAGAGAAAGAAAAAACTAGAGAAGAAATTAAGCGAAATCAAAGGCAGGTAATATTGAAGGATAAAAACTTTTTTTCTTTTCACTATTTCTTTTAAGGATTTTTAATAGTACTGTTACTTGATAAAAACAAGATTCGTTTTAAAAGAATTCTTTTTCTACTTGATTTTATTCTTGCCTTTAACTTTATTATTATCTTGTTTTTTTAATGTTGATTATTGACTGATGAATTATTTGGTACCAAATAAACACTAAGAGAATGTATAATTGTTAACTGTTGATGCTGCTGTGAACTAACAGACAAAGTTATGGGATCAAACAGTAAATTTGTAAGGGATGCCTTACTTGGCTTGAGTTCTGCCAATCAAACCATTTCACATGCAGGGACCCATAAAATTGGAAATTTAATTAACTTCAGTTAAATGTTACAAAATTTATTAATTGTGATTTTTTTATATTACTTCTTTTTTATAAAATTATTTAAGAGAATAGTATTTTCCACTATTACGGCTGGAATGGTTATAGTTAGAAAGCCTCAATACTACTGAGACTTTCATCGCGTTTGTTTATTTGTGCTAACCTTTCTAGAGGATCATCATGCCTAGTTTGTGTTTTACCGGCGAGAATTAAGGAATTTTCGTCTATTTCTATGAAAACCGTTCAGAGTTTTATATTATACTATATTATCCATGCGATGCATGAGGGGAAAAATCGGTCGGTTTGTCGAAAAAAACTTTTCGAACTGGGAAAACAGTTACATACCATTTTTACTATCACGAAGCCATTGTATAGTATTATAGTTAGAAAAAAATATTTATCACAGCACACCCAAGGTATTCATGCTTTCATAGTCAAAATCCAAGTATCCACATTTTGTATAAAAACTTTATTTTAATAATAATATAGGGGTCAGGATCATTTTACACTAGTGTAAGTTACACCGTTCATCTTGTCCGTTGATCCCACAAGTATAAATATATGTAACTGAATTGTGATTAGTTGGTCATTTTTATAATTTAATATTTTTCTTATTAAGAATATTTTTAATAGTTTATGTAATAAGAGAATTTTGACATATAAGGAGTTTAATAATATACATTCTAATCACAATGTGTCTAACTGATAAGTTTTAAATCACATAAAGTTAATTAAATAATATACAACAAAATCACAAGTAGTGAAAGTTGATTTTTCCCTTCTTCAATTTACAAAAAGAAGAAGAATAAATACAATTGTGATATTAATTGTGCTTTTTGCTTAAAATATTATCATCATGTGAGTTAAAGTGAGAAGAGTTAAAGTGAGTTAAGCAAAACACTCCACCATTTCGGCCTCCTTCCTAAAAAAACCGAGAGAACATCGTTGTTTGAGGGGAGGGGGGAGCTTAAAACCTAACTTTTGTCGTGGTGGATGAATGACTTTGATGATTGAGAGTAAAATCCTTAGAATTCTGTTGTGAGTAAAACCCTACAAGCCATTTCACTTTAGAAGTCTTGTTTGAAGAGAGATCACCACCTAAAGTTCTTAGGTTTTTCAAGCTTTTGGAGTTTTTGAGGGTTGTTTGACTCATTTGAGCTAGGAAAATCATCACCACCTCACGCTAGGTTGATCTATGGTGAGTAATCTCAGCTTATTTCATGTTTTTATCAAAATTCATGAATATTGATTTTTGGTGAATAGTGTCTTGCGAAGATCAGATTTGTGGAAAGAGTTTTGATATTCCATGTTATAGGAATGAGCAAAGTGACTTGGTGATAGTAGATGATCCATTAGAAATGACTTTGTGTTGAAAATATAACGTTTGACTCAAGGAACAAAGAGGTGAGTTTGATACCTTAGAATGATAGTAGATGTTTTGCCTTGGACTTGGTATTTGTGTGATAATTTTTTTTACACTACACTAAAATTAAAAAAAAGAGTAAACACCCTTTCTGGTCCCTAACAAAAAACACGGTCCCCACTTTAGTCCCTTACAAAAAAAAATTAGTCAGTTAGTCCCTAACAAATTCAAAGTGGACCCATTTTAGTCCTTTTGAGGGACTAATATGGGTCTTTTTTGAATTTGTGAGGGACCACGATTTCAACTAAATTGGTTCACTTTGAATTTGTTAGGAACTAACTGACTAATTTATTTTTGTAAAGGACTAAAGTGGGGGACCGTGTTTTTTGTTAGGGACCAAAAAAGGTATTTACTCTAAAAAAAATTACATAAACACTACCAAATGATTTTTAAAATTATGAGAAGACCACAGAAAAAGTTCTACCCTATTTAGGAACTCAAAAATCAAATATAAATATTTCAAAAAATGAAAAATTGGTCTAAACGATCGAATTTGGCCAAAATAGGGTGGATCACACACAATGAGTGAGCCTTGCTCATAACATCGGTTTCATTCGGCTCACCAAAAATCAGCCTAATATGAGCATCTCTAACAAATGTTGAAATACCCGATATGTCCTGCAGAGACCAAAAATGATAATAACCGTTAGTGAATGAATGAATATTGGAAAACAGATGTCTTCCCAATCACCAAAACTTCTTAAATTATAAAAGACAAAACTTCCTAACTTATAAAAGACCAAATGAGCAAAAGAATTAGGAAATATCAAAATAAAAAGAAATAAGAAACAGAAGGAAACAAAATAAAAAAATTAGGATATAAACTAAATAAAATAAAATAAAGGAAAGAATAAGGAATAAAAGGAAAGAAAATCACTCTACTCTACTATTAATATTCAGTGATTGAGATCAAAAGAATGATGTAAATTCTCCTGCAATGGCGTCAAATTTGACATGAGCTGTCGAACTCACTCAAATTGCCAGGTAATAAATTTTTTAGTAAAATGGAACAACTTGGTTTGTCTCTCAAGAAAATTACAAGGATCTAAATCGATAGTAAAACGGAACAACTATGCCAATGGTAAAATTAATATTGTAATAGTAAAATATTATTTACCTAATAATCAGTAAAGAAAACATTTACATGTGAAT